AGAAGCTGACAAAGACTTGACTCGATTTGTTTGAGGGTTGCTTGAAAATCAGCCGAGCCAGTCGTTTGTGATATATATATATATATTATGCAATGAGACAACTTTCTTGATAAAACACTATGTGACAAGATTTTTTCTGTTTTCTTTTCGATACGGAAGAAAAAAATGGAAGAATTATTTTTTCCTCTTTAAAATTCTACGTAGATACGAAACGACACGTTTAATACTTATCGACGAGCCCTTCGAAATATCGAAGTTAACTTAAGCCCAACTTAACAACAATGATACTCCATGACCATCACACGTTGCTGAACATCAAAGATCCTGAGACGAGATCTGGTTCTGAACCAAACGAGGCGAGATTAGTATACGCGCGCCTAGACGGTGCAAGGGGGTGGCTCACCCTCCTCCTCCCCCCTCTCCGTTTATGATACATTCGAGTCACATACGACGAGGTCGGTCCCCGCCACCGTCGATGTATTCATCGTATGTAACCCGAACGGGACTCCATAAAATACTACCCTTCCACAGGATTTTGTTCGGCCGAATAAGTTATTGTAGCGCGCTCTATTTTGATACGGCGACGCCTGGGCCGTGCGGCCGCACGCTGAATACCGAATACGCCGTATATATATATATATATATATATTCGGTCAAACAAAGTGGAATTCGATTTTACCAAGGGAGGGGGGGCCTCGAGGAACGCTAGTACCGCGCGATACGGACAATCGAGTCTCGTTTACGGGGAACGCCCCTTCGCGGCTCTCTCTTTTATCTTTTCGATCCTTGCTGCCTCCGACTGGCCTTCATCTGCCTGCTCTCCCCCTTCGTTCGCGAGAAAACGATATCTACCCGGGCGAGGAAGATGTTGTTCGAGATTGTCTTTCGGATTTAATATTAAGGGAATGAAAATTTGAATGAAAATCTTCTTCTTCGTTTTTGATTAGACATTAGATGATTTGCAATGAAGATTTAGTGTTATTAATAGATCTGTTTCGATCTCTCGACTTTTCTTCGTGTTCCAAAGTTTTCGAGAAGTGAATTAGAAAATTCGACGAATTTTCTCTCCCCGTTTGACACCCCTCAATCTAGACGCCACACATTATATTGTTACATTATTCGTCCGCCTCCGATTTCGAGAATAAACATATCGTTCGTCCAATCTTCAAATCCGTCCTCCTATCGGAAATACAAATAATTTCAAGGAGATGGAGATGGAGAAAGTTGAGGAGGGGGGAGGGCTCGTCGTTTCCTTGAAATTCCACGATGCAACCCTCTATCCAGCCGGGTGCAGCTGGCAGAACGGCGCGATAAAAGGACAACAAAACGGCACGAGGCGTGGCGATTAACTGAAACAACCGGGCCGACAATGGAGTAATCAGCGAGCTTTTCGACGCACCCATGCCCCCTCCCCCCGCTTCCCACCTCCGCGCGCGTCACTCTTACGCGGGCCACCGTTTTTGTTGTCGCTTCAGCAACGATGCCCTCCACGAGATCTCCCTTCGAGCCAATCATCGCAGCCAAGAACAGTATATCCAAGGCGAATATATTTCTCGAGGAACGTGTGCGTTCGATACGTTCGATACGAAAATCAAGGTCAAGATACGATAATTCGAAACGCTTTACATACGATAAAGCAAAGTGAACGATATTCTTTTTCTTTTTTTTTATGTATTCTAGATTATCTAGTAAAGCTTCTCGATAAGCCATTTTGGAAGTTCGAAAACGTCGTATCTATCCCCTTGCATTATCTTCCCGGGGATTGATAAGACGTTGCTCGAAGCAGGCCTGCCTTTCACAATTATATATATATATATATACTGACTGCTATCGCCTGTTGTAGAAGAATAAGAAAAGTAATTTGAAAACATATCAAACGTTTAATTCAATTCGATTTCGGTTCGAAAAAAACGAGTTGGAAGGGAAACTAAAAGGAATCAGTTTCGATATCGAAGCGTGGAAAGAAATATGAAACGCTCGCTCGATCGAAGAAGGAGGAATATCTCGGAATTAAGGAGCCGTCGGCGACGGGCCGGTGGGGAAGCTGGATTGTTTCATTGATGAGGGGGCATTCAGGGCCGTAGCAGTCTGCGGGGCCGAAGTGGGCACACGATGGAAGGGGGGGCGACGTTTACGAGCCCGCTTGCAACCCTCTTTCGGACCACGGCGCGCGATGAATGGTATAATCAGTGGTCGCGTGCCACCCCACAGCGCGGAAGAGCGAGACGATAACGGAAGGTGAGACGGATGGAGAGAGAGAGAGAGAGAAAACGAGCACCGATAGAGAGAAATTCCCTCCCCCTCTCTGATCGTCGTCGTGCCTTCGCGAAATCGAGACAGAGAAGCGGGCGTGCAAAAAGTCACTTAACATCCCCCACTCTTGAGACCCCTCTCCCTACTATTTTCTGCCTACAAATCTCTGGGGATCGAAGGATTTTTCTAGGTAAGTGAAGTTACATTCCCCAGTGTATAGGCTATCTAATGAATCGACTCGAATTGCGGCTCGTTGTGGAATGTGAAACGGTTGTCGATATTATTTTACGGCATTGCGTTTCACGTATATTTTCCACGCATAATTATATTATTCACGAATGTAGAATTTTGAGTGAATTGAAGGAAAAAAAAAAAAAAGGAAATATTGAAAAACGAATTTCAATTTCACACTTTAAAAATTTGTTGAATGATATATTCGATGACCGGTGAATTTTCGGGACAATCCGCAAAAAAAAAAAGAAAGAAAGAAAGAAAAAAGAAAGAAAGAAAGAAGAAAAAAGAAACGCGATGTTACCAGCGATACGGACTAATTGAAAGTGTCAGCGTAGAGATAAGGGTTTCGTACAACGTCGAGTGTGAAAAGGGAGCACGGTTCCCCTTTTCGAGGTTCCTTTCTTCTCGTCGATGACCGATAAAAATCGCGTTCACGCCCTGCGAATGACGGAGGATGTGTAACGAGGGGTGATAAAGGAACGCCGGCAGAATGACAGCCGAGAGCGTGCCGATTCATTCACCATCGTGTAGCGAATTTATGATCGAGTTAATAACAGAACAAACGGTTGATTGCCTTCGATAATTCGAACCCTCGTTCGTGCCCACTCTTTCCCCGCTCCACGTTTCCCCTAACTAACCAAATTTCTTTCCAATCTCTCATCTCGTTACAGGAACGATTCTGAAAAAAAAAAAAAGAAAAAAAAAAGAAAAAGAAAAATAAGACCGACGAAAGAGATGTTGTTATTAAGAAATAGTCGTGCATTTCATTATTTCATCCTCTCCCTCCTCGCGCAGACCACCCACCACCACCCCTTCTTCACCTCCCATGACAGATGAATATTTCGGGGAAGAACCTGCCGGAAATTCGATGGCACCGAGCCGTTTTCTTCACAGAGGTTGGAATTCGCCGAGACGTTGCCACTAACACACACAGCCCTCTTGTCTCGTTTTATACCGCCTCTCTTTATCGCCTTATCACCGGAGAGACGTCTTCAGCCCCTCCTCCGCCCCGTCTCTTCCTGCAAGACATTGCAGCCACTGATAACATTTATTTCGAGAAATGGCCCGCTCATGCTTCACGCCCTTACAACAAGCGAACAAAGCGAGAGAAAAATTCTCTCCTCTCTCCATGGCGCAGAGAGAGAGAGAGAGAGAGAGAGAGAAACGCGAGGGAAAAATTTCCAACTCTATCTACAACTCTATCTTTTCCCAAGATATTTACGAAGAAATAATATCGTTACTCATTTCCATTTGGATAAAAATTGTATACATCAATCTCCATAATTATTTAACAACGACGAGTTCTCATCGTAACGATATTACGATATCATATTTTTTTTTAATACCATTCCCTCGAATTCCTCCTGTTCCAGAATTCGTCCAGGATACGCCCGCCCCGTGGCAGACCTGTTCCACTTACGCGTCCATGGAGATGAGAATCAATTCCGGCCCCGACATTGTCTCAATGTCGGCCGGACGCGAGTTGACCAGAAGATCGAGAAGAGGAAAAGAAAAGCGACAGTTACGATAATCCGGGCGACAGACGACGCAGTGCCTGGCTGCGATGGGCGCGCGCGAGAGCGAGAGAGAGAGAGAGAGAGGGGGAAGGGCCGTGGTGGAAAAGGGACGGGGAGACAGCACACCTCCACCTGTTGAACGCGGCTGTATCCACCGTCCGCCATGTCGACGGGGGAGCCAATCGTGGGTGTCCATTAGCCGTGGAACGTGGTGGGAGAGGAGAAACATCCCTGGTTGGCCGATCCTTGTCTCCCCGCGTCTCCCACGGGACTCGCCGCGCTCCCGATTCCTCCTCCCTGCGTCCCAGACTCGACGTCAGAGAGGGTCCTGACGGATCCTTGCCAGTCCTCGCCACGGTATCAATCACACAGCTTCTCACACCGCGGCGGTGCTCCTGTGCCTCTTCGCCCGTGCTCCATCCGTGTTGCACCACAGCTGGAACTGGACGATTCTGATCGAGGGGATCGGAAGGAGAGAATGGAAGAGGGCCTCGAAGGAAGGAGGGAGAAGGTTCTGCTCGAACGGTTTGGAGGAAGAAGCGAGGAGGAATTGACGTTGAAGGATGATGACTGTGAGTGAGATTGACGGGACGAGGAGGATGATCGGAAGATTAATAATACCTTCGTGTGAGTTTTGAAGGGAGGAAGGGGTGAGTGAATTTTCGAAAAAAGAAAAAAATTTCGAGGAGAAATTCTTCGCGAATTGTTTCTTTCCTTTGTTCGTTCGAGGATTGAATGGTGGAAGGAGGGAGAGAGAGGGGGGGGCGTGTGCAAATTGTTGACTTTGACCGGGCCACGTGATCGAACGGGGAGGGTGGAGGAAGATGCGTCGAGCGGTATTTTCGTCGAGATACGCGATCGTTTCGACGATTTTGACGATGACGGCACGATACACGAGCACGAGGTGAAATAAGAAATTGTTGCGAAAAAGAATGCGAAACCATGACACCTACGAAAGATAGTAATTAGACGGGGGGTCCAGTAAGAGGGGGTCGATTGAGAGGATCGTGAGAGATTGGAAGAGTAGCGGTCGAGATGTCGTCGAAAACGTTGCATAACGAGCACATCAAGCGTCCGATGAACGCGTTTATGGTGTGGTCACGAGGGCAGCGACGGAAAATGGCCCAGGAAAATCCCAAGATGCATAATTCCGAGATTTCGAAGAGGCTTGGCGCCGAATGGAAACTGCTCAGCGAGAGCGAGAAGCGGCCTTTCATCGACGAGGCTAAAAGGTTAAGGTAAGAATTTCACTTTAAAAGTAAATAATAACTCGCCTTACCTCGATCGATCTCTTCTTGAACGAATGATATCTTAATTTAATCACCTCGAATCGAAATTAAAAATTATAATGAGTTTTAAATTTCAAAAGTTCGAGTTTTCATTCAAGAGTTCAAAAATAGAATAATCGAAATTTCTTCCCTTCCGTTTATCGTTTCCGATCAATCAAGCCAAGGATTTTTTTTCTCTCCCGCGTGCTAATTGCTCTTTAGTCACGAGTGGCCGAGAGAAATTATCGCATCGAGGCGTATCTGCAATAACCGTGAAGGGTGGAGATGAAAAACGTGGAAGGGGGATGGGGAGGGGGGGAGGGGGGGGGAGGGACCCCGCGTAGTTCATAATACGGTACATTGTTGCTAAAGCTAAGGGCGTGCTGCGCTAAGCCAAGGGGTGGAATAGGGTGAACGAAGTGGTATTTATGGAGGTGGAGGGGACAGCCTCTTTATTACCGACCCTGAATATTTAATCATTGTTATGAGTTTATTTAGCCCGCGCTGTAACCGATGAACAGGTCTCGAGAGAAACTTCACGATCGAATATACGATATTTTTATCGTATTTGTTTCATTCTTCGAGGAGATTAACGAGGAAGAGATTGCTACTTTAAATTTATTATTCTGGAGAAGATTTACTCTGAACATCTTAAGCGTAGCGAATAATTTATTACTACGAAACTACTTTGGACGGTAAATTAAATGTTGGTAAAAAAAAAAAAAAAAAAAAAAGAAGGAAAAAAAAATGTATATTTAATAATTTAGAATAACTTTTCATTCTCTGGTTTAATTAATGGTAAATTAATTACGCGCGTAATGGTCTTATTAAAATTGCCATGATTTAAATACATTTGAATTTAAAATAAAAAAGAATAATTCGAAATAATTTAAACACGCTAAACTGACCACCAACGAGAAACTAAAAGGCAAAAATTATAAAGGTATTACGGTATAATTTAGAAGCTAAGCTAAGCTTTTTAAAAAAACATTCCTCTAAATTCTCGATATAAATTTCTAGCATTAACGGAGGTATTAAGGCTTGGGAAAAACAATAAAGAACGAGAGAGATAAAAGCGATTCAGTTAAAAAACAATAAGGGTGAAATACAAGGGAGGCGGGGGAACACGTTGAAAGGAGGATTAATTTAAAAGTACGATGGGCGGGAATTGTTGATGACAGAATCGAGCTCTATCACGGCATTTTTCAAAGCAAAAATTGTCGGAATAGCGAATTGATAGGAGAGGGTTGAATATAAACTCGCGAAATCGGCCGCGGCGACGATGAAGCTCGTAAAATAAATAATAGAATAATAAAATCGCTTCTCTCTCTCTCTCTC